AATCCAGGACCTGGATGCAAAACCGGATAACAGCGCAATTGAACTCTCTTGTCTTCCTCGTCGTTTGAGGGTCCCCTGTTTTATAGTCTTGTGACATTTTCTGTGGATCTGACACTCCCGCTCAAGATGAGCTGCATTCTGCCACCGGCGTTCTTTAGCGTGTCGCGATCTCGATGGCGTAGAATCGATGGAGCACGGAATGCAAAGGCGATGCTGGCAGGATCTCTCCTTTCTTGTGCCTGTGTATATTCAATCAGCCTGGGAACAGATTTAACTTGCATATTCAGTGTTTTTGGAGAACTGTGTTAGGGCTGCTGTCTTGCTTTGATTCGTTTTCCCTGCACAGTTTTGCCCACACTTACCAGCTGTGTAACCTTTCGAAGAGCAAGTTAACTCATTTGGGTGAGCCTCGCAGCTCTTGCCGAGCGAGTGAAAAAAAAGATAAAACAAAACAAAAAGGAGAACATATTTGTTCGGCATTTGTGAAAATCTTCAAGGCTTGCAGTGTTTATCTGCTCGTGCGTCTCACGTTATTCCTTAGGTGCTGCTCAGCATAAGAAAAGACATCTTTTTTTAAAAAAAGAAAAGTATGTTCTTGTAGACAGCCATCTGGTAGTTAAGAAAAGGACCTTCTATTTCAACCTTGATTTTTCAAGGCAAGTATCGTGGAAGGTCTGTTTTCAAGCTTGTATGTTGTGACAGAACATCCTGTGTACACAAGATAATGCACCTTCATCCACTTGGCTTGACTTAATGATTCAAAGTGAGATAGCAGAAAGATCAGTCAGACAGGTTCCTCCTATTTTCTGCCTGCTATCTCCAGGTGGTTGAAGAAAGACAACGCTGAAAGAGTCACCACCTCCGAAATCAAAATAAAAAAGGGGATGTCTTCCTTGTTTTTACCCTGTGCAGAGATCATGTTAATAAATATGTGGCTTACTGAAACAATAAATTAACAGATTTTGGTATCAGGGAAGCTCCTCCAACAGAATAGAGTGCTGTATCTTCTGGTGGAATCCTGAGCTTTTGGCTGCATAATAAGTGGGAAGAACAGTGAAAACTGCAACAGAGACAAAACTGCTCTCTGTGTTACTGTGTTGAAGGATAATAACTAAGGCTTGCAGTGCTGCGAATGTGAAGGGGAAAAATGCTATGGTGCATATTTGAGGTATTGATTTATTTTTTTGCCTTTGAGTGACTGTAGGAGAAATCCATATAATTTTTGAGACAAGATTTTAGAAGTGGTTTGCCCTTGTCTTTTTGTTCCTCATACAGGGAGAGAGCACCCTGTACAAGCAGCTCACCCCTTTCCTAAGAGGGGGTGTGCATAAACACATCAGTGTGCCTACCGTCCCTGTCCTCTGTCCCTCTTGATTCGTACCCATTTCCTGTGTTCATGTCCATGTTTATACTTATACCTGTTATCTTATACATGTTTGACAAACACACTAACTAAATAAATAAATAAAAACAATTGACTCAAACTCAACCAGTTGGCTTCCATGCCTAAGACAGGACTGGAATTCAGGTTTCCCTGCTCCTAGTCAAAACCTCTTAAGCACTAGACCAAACTCTGGCTCTAGCGTAGTACCTCTCCTATGGGCAATTCCTTAAAGCAGACTGAGAACATGCTTTTGGAAACATCCCTTTGAATGCAATATGCTGCACAGACCTAATAAAAGCATAGGAAGGAAAGCATGTCTGAATCAGACTAAAATTTTATCTAGCCAATTTCTTGTTTCCCATCCAAACTTCCATAGGAGGTTTGCAATAGAACCTGGGTTTGCAAAGTATCTGCCAGGAGGGGTGAAGATAGTAAATAATCCTCACAATCAGTTTCCTGACACCACAGCCATCCTAAGTCTTAAATGACTGCATTCTATACTTGAGTATTACATTATTCAAAGTTCTCATGAAATTATACAAATTGAAGAGGATCTGATGGCATAACTATTGGATGTTGAATAACTGCCGGTAGGCCACGAAGAATATTGTGATGTCAAGCAAATGGATGTGAGTTTTTATGCTAGTTATATGTTCAAGCCAGTATTGAATAGTAAATTTTCCAAAAACAAGTAAGAATTGAGGTTTTTTTTGGTGAAATTGTTAGAGGGTAGCATGATGACAAAAAGTTATACTGTAGGTAGATATCAGAAACTTATCTGAGATGGATAGAGTTCTTAAATGCCAATTCTGCCTTGATTGTCCTTCCTTGAAATACAGGAAGAACTTGTGAACTTCAGTCTTCAATTTCCAATCTTACTATGCAGATAAAATATGGTTGTTTATACATACATTCAGCATATGAGATTTACAAAGTCACCTAAAATGGCTTAGAAGCAGAAATTGCTGTTCAAGAGCCATAAATCAGTATTGGCCTGAGTTCTTGTAAAGAAGAAAAAAAGCTATGGCAAGCCAGGACTTTCAATCCTATGAAGAGAGTAGGACTACTTTGGAATATACACATTATATAAACTAGCATGACACCACATTCACAAACTCCTAATTAATTTAAAATCAATAAGTGTACACAGAATCAATTAAATACACATTTAGTATTGCAGTTAGCCACAATATAATATAAAACAAGATAACACCTTTTAGATTTTTTCCCCTAGCATTTTCCCTGCAAATGCAGGGTTTGCTTTTTTCTGATCAAACAAGTGTTAATCCATTAGTTGCCACAGGAATTAACTGGACATCTTGTTGAATGAGCCTGGCTGAGAGAGAGAGTGGCTGGGCCAAAGTCACCCAGTTGGCTTTCATGCCTATGGCAGGACTAGAACTCA